TATCTATCTATCTATCTATCTATCTATCTATCTATCTATCTATCTATCTATCTATCTATCTATCTATCTATCTATCTATCTATCTATCTATCTATCTATCTATCTATCTATCTATCTATCTATCTATCTATCTATCTATCTATCTATCTATCTATCTATCTATCTATCTATCTATCTATCTATCTATCTATCTATCTATCTATCTATCTATCTATCTATCTATCTATCTATCTATCTATCTATCTATCTATCTATCTATCTATCTATCTATCTATCTATCTATCTATCTATCTATCTATCTATCTATCTATCTATCTATCTATCTATCTATCTATCTATCTATCTATCTATCTATCTATCTATCTATCTATCTATCTATCTATCTATCTATCTATCTATCTATCTATCTATCTATCTATCTATCTATCTATCTATCTATCTATCTATCTATCTATCTATCTATCTATCTATCTATCTATCTATCTATCTATCTATCTATCTATCTATCTATCTATCTATCTATCTATCTATCTATCTATCTATCTATCTATCTATCTATCTATCTATCTATCTATCTATCTATCTATCTATCTATCTATCTATCTATCTATCTATCTATCTATCTATCTATCTATCTATCTATCTATCTATCTATCTATCTATCTATCTATCTATCTATCTATCTATCTATCTATCTATCTATCTATCTATCTATCTATCTATCTATCTATCTATCTATCTATCTATCTATCTATCTATCTATCTATCTATCTATCTATCTATCTATCTATCTATCTATCTATCTATCTATCTATCTATCTTTTTAGACATCTAGATATTCAAATATCTTTATAATTGTAGGAAACCACATGGAGAGGCATCTAGTTTGAACGTTTTTGTCGAAGTATTTCTTGTTGCTATAGAAATATATTTTAATTGAGGCTGATGTGTCAGCTGCCAATTAGCAGTCTTCATTGATCTTAACTGGGCTGTTAGGCGCTTCTGCCACTTAAGTGACAACTTATTAGACTGCAACTGGATTGTGAGGTGGCCACTTGGCTCGTTTGTCGCTATTAATTAGGATGATCGGTGTTTCTGATACCGAATTTAAAACTCATTAGTCTGTCATTGGAATGTAAAGTGGTCACTAGGTTCCTTAAACATCCAGTGGCGTAAGCAATAAATCATCCAATGAACAATTCAAAATATCGAATATTACGCTACACACTGCTATGTCCCCATCATTTCCGTGCACCAGCGGATCATAATGACCTTGGAATTTTCCAACAGGGAGATTTTCCATCGCCTGAAATCAACAATAAACAGACATACGTGAATTCATTATCAACCAAGACAGTGTCTTGTTCCATACAACGAAGAAGAGGCTTACCAAGCGACTGTAATTCTACAACCATTACTCAAGTGTTAGTGTTCAAAAAATCTCGTTGATCAATGAACATCAGTTCCGAAACCATCTCACGAACATCAGTGCATAGCACTAGTATTATCTCCTGAGTTTGCTCGTTCAGGTCCGCGGCACTCATCGTTCAATCACGGAAAACTACATCACGTGGCCGCATATTAACCGGCTCCTCGAGAGGGAAGCTTTAGTCGTCGTGTAAATCTATTCTTCCTCTGAGTTACTTAAAAACGATTCATAAATTTTCTACTTACTTTGTACCATAGCACAGAAGCTTATGAAACATTAGGTACCCAAAGCCATTGCTTAGTGACGATGGCTAGGCTTGGATATCTAGATGCCTGGACTAGCATCCTTGCTGAACTTCGTCTGTTGAACCTGGTGTTCCTAATAAAGTATTTCCAACATTCGCCGTCACCTATCACAGTTAACAAAAGACAACTGTCACCTCGATAAATACACTCATTTTCGTAACTGTTTGACTTTCCACAAGCGAAACAAATGGATCACCTGGTGGCATTTTTTGAGTCACCGTTTCACCGTATTTCATCACGTGATTAAACGCCGCATTCTTTTTCAAACGTGACTGAAACCGTCTTCGATTTTACCTCCTGGTGTTGTTCGTCCAGTGTGCGCTTCATTTCTGCGTGCGGAGGATAACGAGAACGGGGAGCTGTGTGAAGCAGACAGATCTGGCTACTCAATTTTAAGAGGAATCAGCTGTAGGCAAAATATTGAAGCTATCAATTGAGTTACCGAGGTATGCAACGACACACACTGCAGGGAAATTAGTGAGCACTCCCCTTTTCGTGGGCGCCATACATTCACCCACAACACCCCTTAAGAATTTGATGCTCTATGGTTCTTAAAACTATCATCATCATCCCCATCACCAGGAGCAACACTAGAGTACAATAATGATGATTCACTTCCGTAAAAGAATTCTAAATTATGCGTAGTTGAAAAAGAAAGAATAATTGATCAGAAAGCAAATTCTAGGGCTAGCCTACAGCAAACACACGAAATACCTACACCTTCGAGACCCAGTCGAACAACCTGGCAAAACTGACGGCATGAAAGTAATTGACATATTGATTCATTTCGACAGATGTGTTGAGACGAAGGCGTTCAGGAGTTCCACCAGCACCATCGTAATCCTTATCATCAGCACATCGTTATCGTCGTCATCAACATCATCACTGTCAACATGCGTATTCAACATTGACGCTTCCCTGCGTTAATTCAAAATCCATTTAAGGCCCTATGCAAGATGAAAGAATCAAAATGCATTAAAGAGAGACTTGGTGCTGGCCTGCCACCATTATTCCGAAGCTTGTACAGCTCCAGCAAATTACTCAAGCGACCTGAACCGGAATCGATAACCAGAACTTCAATAACATCGAATCAAGGACAGTCACGGTGGTATTCAGGCGATCTCCATCATAGAGCACGAATTGAACTGATAGCACGCAGACGTTTGATAGACTCTTTCATGGCCTTCTGCAAGATCACAGGTAAACATGATTGGAAGGATAGTGAAAAAATTTAGGATATCCAAATGTTGGTTTAATTATTTCGGGACTACCGATCGGTTATGATGGCCGAATCGCGATAAATTCTCTTAATGCTTAAAGACAAAAAAATAATAAATGTTTTAGAAAATCAAATGGGCTACCACTGGCTGCTGAATACATCCGGACTAGTCATCCACAACTGACAGGCTGATCTGCAGCAGTTGTGTTGAAACTTACGTATTCCGAATCTAAGAGCCAGTCAATCGAGTATTCATTCGCCAGGCAAACATCGATGTCCTTGTCAAAACATAAAATAGCATACGATTCTTCACCTTCCTTGGCTGATGTTGTAGCGTAGACTGCAGGTTTAGGAGTTCAATCAACAGATTTTATAGGTGAATATCAGAGATGTGTGAAATAGTGAGGTAAATTATCGATGAACGGATCCTGTGACATACTGAACTAATGAAGCTCTAATACGTCTAGTACTAACGAACTACTCAGAAGGTCGCTGACATTTCATTGACAGAACATAATGGTTTTCATGCTTCTTGCGGCAACCCAGGTAGTCGCGGTCCTTGACTTTCCCGAGAACTTTATCAAGACATTAACCCAGACCGGGCGCAGCTTGCCAACCACTCTCATGGACGAGACATATACCGGGTTTATTTGGGCTCAATAATTGTGTAAATATATAATTTGCTTTTTACGGTAAAAGTTACTCACGCTACAGTCATTAGAACTGTTGTTTGATGGGTAGAAGTGTACTTGTAACAAAATACCCACCATCCGTTTATAATTTAAAATGTAGGAGTCTACTTGGCATTATTATTTGCTGCAAAGGGATACCAAAATATCACAGGGGTTGTACCGGTTACACAATGGTTTCCTCCAACCAGATTCAACTGGTTCAGCATCGGAAGCGACATTAATCGATTAAGGCTGGATATTTAGCTTTCATCGATCAAACGCTTCTTGCGTAGAGTCAGGGGCTACTTCTATACAAAGATCGCGAAGAATAAACCAACCTCGGAACTTCCTTCTGTTTTACTGGTCAACGCCGCTTTTAAGTCAAATTTTATTGACACTGAATGCAATTTCACAGGATCCACGCTAGAATCGGTCAAACATGTAGGCTACTTACTTCCCATATTTGAAGGAAGGACATCTTTAAACATAGAGCCAGAATAGCAAGCATCCACATATAACGCCAACATGTAGAATTTTTTTTGAATGCATGTTGGCGAGGGTATCGTTCAACCCCATTGCATGCAGCTGTCACAAGACAAGGAGAAAAATTCTCGTGAGCTCGAACTGAGTCAGTCACTATCGATGTGGATTCCTTGATTGCCTAATGCACGTCGTTATGTCCTGACTCGGTGCGGATAAATCAGTCTGTTGGCTTGTTGCTCGTTTTCGAACGGTTATATAGTGTAACTACCAAGCGCAGCACTGCTGATTCCCGATAAGGATGGAACAGTTGTACGTTACATCTCGGCTTTCATTACAGACCAGTTTCTCATACAGCAATGCGAAAACATTTTCAATCTACCAAAGAATCTCTCTGGAGGTAAGAAAGAGTATGTTGTCTTGTCAGGAAGAATTTGGCTGACGCATTCTTTGTATCATCTGCGACTCCTTCGTGACCGTATACGAACAGCTTCTTTGTTTATGGCATACACGTTTGCCCCGGAGTCTGAATGGATCATGCGCAAAATTATGTGAGTCGAACGAGCTTAAGCTTCGTAAAACATAATCTATGCGACGGTGTCATTTAAAGCACCTCGATGAGACCTATCAAACTTGAATTCCTGGGGACGTAACTCTTGAGATTGAAGTACGATCATCGTAGCTTGTGTTCCATTTTTCGGTTGATGTGTAGGCGAGCTTGCTTAAAAACTCCATTTAAAAGTATTATCGAATTCAATGTGTAGAACAGGTTGAGTATAAGCTCCATTTTATAAAGAATTACCGATATCATTGCAGCAACATGTTTACGTAAGCGTTTTCAATCCGTTCATTATTTAGCTTCAAATTAAAAAACTGTGTCCTAAAACCGTGGTTACCAAAATTAACCAAACTTACGTATTCTTCTTGGAAAGCAATATGGAAAGTCGCACCATGGCCAGAGTAGAAGATGAACACGTTGTCATCAGGACCGCTGTTATTGGGCAGAAAGTTTAGGGTGGTTTTTTTAAGGGGAGCTTTTTGCCCGGCGCTCCGCACATAGGAAAGCACGGCATAAAACCCGCGGTTATGGAAGAACAACGAAACGTAGTTCCGTATATTATTTTGTTCACGCTGCTTGACATAATCTGTAGCTAAAATAACTTCAACTTGTCTATTATTTGCATGGCCACGTAAATACAGGGAATAAAAATTCGAATTTTTGGACGTCGGTCGGTGGATTTTTGTAGCGGGAGATATGGTAGCTTCTATGTTTTTCAATGCATGAAGATGGTTGGAAACAGTCTTCCACTTTAGCTAGTTTTACCATCTTGCCGTTGTAAAGGTCACACTCAACTCTTTCGAAAAGACGCTCTCTTTAGCACGATTACATCTATTTAATGAAATATCAACATAATATACACACCACTGGGGTAAAATATTAAAAGTAACCAATGTGATCCTGCATTTTGAACGGGGATTTCCCAGAAGCCATCTGTTTTTATCTAAACTTGATCCGGAAGTGTTCCGTTAGTTGGTCGCTGTTCAAGATGGTGTTCATTGGTTCTCTGATCGTAGTGATCGGCTTGCAAATGTTTCACCACCAACCGTGGTGTCATCATGAGTGAGTGATTGGGTTGGAAGTTACTGCATTCCTATCTGAAATTATACAACTGTGACTGGCTGAGGACAGCATACACTTCTCGGTGTCCAAATGGCTGATTTCGAAATGTCACCCGTTGTTGCTGGCATCCCCTGAATTCGGTTGCTGCTTTAAGTAGTTTCTGTCTGAAGACCTTTTGTTCATGGTCTGATTGAAAGGTTACCGATTTCTAATGTGTTGGATTCTGGCTTTCCACACACTATTGATCTCACTAGGTTTTCTGGTTTCAGTAGTATATTTTGTTTGTTTGTTTCTGAATTACGGTCGTGTTAGAGCCCGATTTTTCGGAATTTGTTTTCGTGAATGTTCTTCCAGTTAATAGAACTTGTTTAATGTGCAGATGAGTTTATCACATTTGGTAACTTAATTTATAGACCATCACTCCTTCTATATCCCAACTATCTAAAATGATTTACTTATTAGATCTGCTATGGAACCTGATGGGAGCAGAAAAGAACACCAGGAAGTGCGGAAAAAGATACCGCTGAGCTCACCTGAGACAACGTTTTGTAGAACGTTGGCCAAGCTTCGAAATACAAACGCTTAGATTCACAATATGACAATCAAGAACAAATATCTCTTTTGGATATGCCCCGACGAAATATTCTCTTTGAAATTCAGTTTTGCAGAAAACTAGCTTGCTAAAACACAATACAATGTCCATGACAGGCAGCGGAAACTACATACACTGGGCGACAGCAAACAAATTTCTACGGTTCCATTGCGACTTTGCGGGTGGGTTCAGAGATGAGTACCTGTCAAACTGATTGCCTTGGAAGGGTAAATGCGGGAACCGCCCAATTCAAATTATTGTGAGGACTGGCGAAAAACTCAGAATAAAGCCTATATGAACAGCTTTAAGACCGCTCATGTGGAATGGCGACCGAACAAAACACGAGGCATAAATTTCTTGGAAGCAAAGCTGAATGACAACTGACCACCGACTAACTCGAAGCTCTCGAAGATCGTCCAACAAGTAGTGCTCACAAACACTTTAAAATCATGGCAGTTTCTGTCCAATAGCGAACAAAAAGGCTCGGTTTACAAAGGCGGGGAATATGTACGGAAACATCCATCGCAGGTCCCTGTGCGAAACCACGGTTAATCAGGAAACACGCACAAAGAGCGGGTGATTGCGGATTTTCTCACAATTGCAAATCCAAAATGTGTATATTTGACCGGATGAGAGATTTATGGTTTCCGAGTGAATAACCATTTCTGTCGTCTTCTGGCTTGCATCTGTGTGCCGACGCTTTCCATCTCGTCATATGCGGGTCAAGAATGCGTGGGGGGAATTTCGAAAGAACAACTGTGACATCACCAAAACACACAGGACCTAAGGCGAGACAGGCATTCTAAAATCTTAGAGTATTATCGGTGAATAACGATAGGGATTTCGATGACCCAATCAGCAGTGCTCATTTGCCTCATTCAAAACCGTGAGTTGAAACAACTCGTGAATCCGAGCGGATCAAGATCAACACACCACAAGTTGTTCAACACCATGCAGAAATTTGACCACTCACTAATTCGCATATCTGAAGATTTTCGAAACTTCTCAACGTAGGCGATTTGTGTCTCAATGGAGATGATTGTCTGAAATCGATAAAGAGCTTTTCCTCTGCAGTGTAGCAAATCTCCTTCACGGAATTCTGGGAACGTTACATAAAGAGATTATGTGCCACATTGTTTACGAGAATACTAAACGCACATTTCGTTAATCCAAAAATTCTGACCTGGAACACTGGAATCCTACCTGTGACCAGCAAGCGCATCAACATTTTCCACCTTTGAGCGAACTCACGTTTTCAACACCTTCTTCTTATTGGCTTCAAGTTTCTTATCGCCTTTTAGTACGTTCACGAGGTTATCCCGAGTGACATCCTAAAACGGATGAACACGCATGACCAATTATTCTTGTGACGATGGTGATCTCCAAACACATTCTGTTCACAATAATCATTCATTTGCAATTTACAAATAATTGAAATCGATGGTCTGCCCAACATCTTCACTCACATTATTTTCACGATGGTTGCTCTATGCTAAAAAACGAAGGATTCGAATGCTGGTCTGTTTGCCAAGCATTCGGATTAGCTCTTCGGGCCTAGTGTTAGCGGCTGGGTTGAACATAGTTTACCTGGAAGCATGATAAAGTAGTCTTTTTTCTTTATCAGTAGCCAAGGAATGAACAACACGAGCAAGAGCCGCTATCTTGAAATGAGTATCACTCATCAGTACTCGAGCCGCTGGATTGACCATTCTGTAGTATATTAAAACTGATTAATTTGCCCTACGGCTTGTATTGTGTTTTGATCTGCAGTGTCATTATTCTTGCACATTGTGTTACACGGACAACCGATGCAGGAATTGACTTGATCGCTGCGCACCGGAACACGGACTTACTTTTCCACGGTAGTCAATCACCACACCATTGTAGACATCTCTGTGTTCGTAGTCATGGAACACTTTGCCTTTAAACGGATTTCTGGAATAAGAGAATTAAAAATGGTGGTTTTTTGAAAAAAAATAACATGTAGGTCGAATGGAAAGAAATTAAAGGCTCACAAATTCTGTTGGAAGTTTGTTCACGGGCTGGTTTTGCAAAAAAACGTTTTCACGACGGTGAGTGCATTTTCTGTCACACATATGATTGAGTGTCAATTAATAATACTTTAGGCAGAAATAATTTAGGTATCCTTCAAGGATACCCGTGGAGGGCACAACAAAGAAAATCACAATTGTGGTGCGAAAAGTTAATTCTTTTAGGTAAATTTACATTCAACCACCACCAGTAATATATTATCTGAGCGTATCCATATTCAGTGCCCTTGAGTGTAATACAATTCTGCAGGTAATAATTGGGTGCCAATTTGCCGACCGGAATTTCCTTAGTTCCAGCCCTATATCTGACTCCCGACCACATCTGTCTAGACATGGGAAACCTGGCAGTGTCCCAGCGCTCGTGCAACCTTCGTGTTTCATGGCAGATAGGCACCTAAAATATGCTACGGCCGAACGAACGATTGGGCAATAGCCGACTTACGTTCATTAAACTCTCCACGCGAAAACCAACTTTTAATCCTTTTAGACGTTTTTTCTTCTCTCCGATAGCATTGCAAATTGTTTAGCTTACTAGATTTTCTGCTTACCATTTGCTCCAATATCATAGCCCGGCTAGTGCACTAAAACGACATCTAGATATCAATGTGATTTATTTCAGGCTACTGAAACGAGCAGATTAACGAGTAATTATCATCCTCATCATCGTAATTATCTTCGGTGTGCTGTTTATATCAGGGTTCTGTGGCGTCTGTAGTCAAAGGAAGGCATCAAACGAAATTAAAACTCGTGTGCCAATTGAAATAATGCATGAAACCCCATAATTGTCTGCGGCTCGACTTTATCACTTATATACATGAGAAATAAGGTAGAAAAATGAGACCTGTTAAAGTCAAACAAAAAAGCGTATCCCATACTCCAGTTGCTATCATATAGGGAAAATTTGTAAGCGATATTTACTTGGGATTGTTTGCAACATCGTCGTAGGCGAAGTTAATTATATTCTCCGGTGGAACTTTGTGTTTCCGCACGACTTGATAAGCGTGGTAAACGTCCGCCTGAATGAGAACACAAATGACAAGTGAATTTATAATGACAGCAAGAGCGAGGCATGGAGGCAAAATAGGCAAGCACAGTGTGTATCCATACTTGATGGAGTGTCAGTTATCCCAACAGTGTTTGGATGTATTATTCCATGAATAGGAAGCAAGATTCTACTCTGGACGGGCCCGTGTGAACCAAAGTTTCACATTCAGTCAAGTGTCCAAACAGCGACCTGCCCACCGAAGCAGTACAGCCTTGGTATCCCGTGACTTCGAAAATGTGGCCGAAACTGCCGTTCGCTTGTAAACTAGATAAATAACCAGATTGTGACAACACTCGATGGCAATAAATTATCACCCAGTGAAACTCAAGAACGGATAAAAACGCACTCAATACATGTAACATTTTCAATTCGATTCTCATATAACCCCATGCAAATGATGGACAAGTGGACAAAGGAATTTTACCAAGATGTAGAACCGGCTTATACGACACGTCCCTCTAAGCCACGGTACTGCGGAACCCCAGAGCGTTTCTCTAATATGATGAAGCTACAATGTCAGGTCAGATGATAAGTGGTGGTTTGAAAACCATCGAATTCATGTTTTATACAACAGCATACCTTCCACTCGCAGTCCGTGATTTCACCTAACGTAACGCCATATTAAAAATTAATAAGTGACGAAAATCGGATTCCAATTAACGTAAATCGCAATATGCACCTCAGTAAAATCTGAGTTTATTAGTGTTGGAAAATCGGTCCCAAAAAAAACAAAATTTAGTTATACGACATGAAAATACTGAGGAAAACAAACAAAATAAAAAAACAAAAACAAAAATACAAAATCATTATTCACCGCCTGTTCGAGTGAAATATCGCAGCCATGGAGAACACTATGTGGGGCACAACTGCTTGGGGGACCCATATTGATACCTTCCACTTTGAAAACCATTTCTTACAGGATTTTGGTGAACGTTTGAGGCCTACTTGATGTCGATAATTTTCCAATGTGTTTGTACCAGCCGCAAGGACAACCCAGTTCTTTGACGGATTATTGCTGAATATAGATGACCAAATGTGGATGCCGACGGCTTCCAACCATGCAACGTGGTCGATGCAGAACAAGAACCCAATAAGAAGCGAACAACGGCAAATCATAGTCAGGCTTACTTGAAGCTTCATATGCCTGGAATTTGATACCGTGCGACTCCAGGTAATTGAACTTTGCCTTACAAATATAAGGCGATTATGTGAAAAAAAGGTATCCACCAGAAATCCAATATGTCCGTAGTGCAAAGTTTATGCAAATCATCGAATGATCGGCCATTTTGATCAGCTTGTTCAATGACTGATCATTTGTGCAATCAAATTTCATCAATGCGTGCACATTGGTGATTTGTGGTGTTTTCAAGTTGTTGAGTGCTCATGCCCTTCACGAGGTACTGAGCAGCAGCCTAAGTCTATAACATTGTTTTCACGTATCTGGTGGCTTTATGAGTACCTTTAAAAATTGTTTGGTCCATGAACACATTCATACGGCTTATTGTAATAAAAGTTCATTGTGAAAATGTGCATCCATATTGCAACTGTTTCAACCTCTTCATATTATCAGTGAAAGGAAGAAGGCGTTCGCTGCGGAGTAATTCATTAAAAAATGCGACCTGACCAGTCACAGACTATTGGACACCAAAACAAACGTTTCACGTGCGACTTGATTACAAAAAGTGAACATCCATCTTCACTTCAACGTGACTTGCTGAACGTACCTGTTTACCCATTCAGTGGTGCTTAAGTGCAAGCAAAATCCAAGCAAGCCCAAGTCCACAACTTCCGCAAATATCCCACTTTTCAAGCGAATTTACAGGAAGAGAACATATCGCTCTGATGCCTGTCTTATTTGTAGTATCACCGTTATATCAGCAATCCATGAGTATATCAGAGGAAGAATGGTTTTATAAGGTAGCTGGAAGTTTCTTCTGACGAGTCGTCAGTCGGGGAACCTGTCAACACTAATCGACCATGGGGTTTGGTTTCTGTGATTGAAGTATGATTGGCGCTATACCCATTCTAACTTAGAGCTAATTGCACTACTGATCAGCAGTTCTTAGCCAAACTGTCACCTCGTTGTTCAATGGGCGAATGAAGGAACGACATCCAGACTGATCTAGCAGGGTTTTCATGTAATAAAATGCAATAGGTAATTTGAAACAATGCTTTGAGCATTTTACGCATCCGTTCCAAGGAAGTGGGCACGAACAGGCTCCTTTGAAAACTTCAGCGCATCAAGAGACTCGACATGCATAACATCCTCATATTCGAGACACCACACTGTCGAGCATAAACTGGGTCTCGGAGTTCTCATCTACCGGATTCCATCAGCTAGGTGAACCCGGAAAGTTTTGACATGTAGCAACATACCACTAGTTATATTAGTAAAAAGAAGTTGATCAACACAATACCAACTCCTTGGGTTTGCCTGATCCGCCTGAATGTTTAAATATCAGTACGAAATAGCTGTCGAATGGGAGCATTAAACCCGGTGCTCAACGTTTGTACGACTAAAGGCTCGCTCGTCCACATGCGCCGGCAACGACGGATAAGCCGCATTGTTTACGAGGAAACCAGCGTAACCATTGATTTGTTGGCCGGAAAGTATGTCAAAAGCGGGGGAAATTTTCACAGAACAATGGTTAAAAGAACCACTGCATACCTGAAACTCCAAGTTACGTATCGACTGGCCACCAGAAATTCTAGTTAGAAGCTCGTGCATTGTTTTTGATTCGTTGGGCATCCAGACGCGCCGTAAACGGTATATCCGAGCTCGTTAGCAGTAAAAGCACTTTATTCGCGAACGATATCAAGATATGCTCAAGCATACGCACGATTGAATGCAGTCACCGATTGCAAAAAGCTCTCGATACACTTTTTTATTGGTCAATGTAAAACAGGCTGCCGTGTAACCTGCAAAAATGTAAAATGCTCCGTGTACGGAAGCCCGTTGCACATAACTATACGACGGGTCCACAAATATTTTCTTGGATTGGTGAAGAAAAATATCTGGGCGTGTGGGTTAGCAGCTGTTCAAATAACTCCTTGCAATGCACAGCTGACTACTAGAGGACTTCGCAAGTCCTGTCGCTCCTAAAACGGATTTTCGGTCGTTTCAATCGACTGGCACTGCCCCGAGTAATTAATAACTTCATCCGACCAACCGTGGAGTGCGCTTTACCAGCTTGGTCACAATGGCTTCAAAAAGACAAAATTCTTCTACAACGAGTACATCATCGAGCCACGAAGCTGGTAAATGCATTGCATAAGAAACCATACGAAGGCAGGATTGCCACTCAAAACCTATTTGACTTCTGCTATCGGCGCATCAGAGGAAACCTAATTCTAACATATAATACACTGAAGACACCTAATCATCCGCACGAAAATCTTTTTGTCCGACGTCGACCACGAACGGGCAGGAGACATGACTTTTCTCTTGCAGTACCTCACTCGAGGGTGAACTGTCGACGGAACTTTTTTCGGTCCATGTGTGTTTCATTTGGAACTCCCCACCTCCCAATGTTGTGCATTCGCCGATTTTAACCATTTTCAAAAACAATTTAGATGCATACCTTATGTCGAAACCAAATCTGGAACTGTTTAACCCCATGTGAATACTCAGCCTCCCTTTGTATATATACGCCCACCCTATCGTCGTTGTAAAGTTAACTGCATTTTAGACCAATAAACCTTGAATTACCTTGAATAACCTTGAATGCCTGTGTTGATTCGACAGTGTTTGATAGAGTGAGATCACAGTGTACAGTGGAGATTGACCGAAGAGCAACACAATTTGAGGTAGAAAAGCGATTTAGAGATACATGATACATGATACATGATACATTTAGAGATACATGATGGATTTACGCAAGCAGCAACTAAGACGGGTATTAGTGGTAACATCAAAGCCTTACACCCAGTAGCCATTCCAGAACATGTTCCTCTTCACCGGAGAGCCCATCTGATAAATGGACTACATTCAAACAGCTAGTAGATGACCAACTCCCCTCTGTGGTGTTTCCAGAACGGCAAGTCGGAGAACGCAATTTCTCAAACTTACGTACTTGGTTGTCCTTGCACTGTGTACCTTGACCTAAATTTACTTCTTAAAGAGGTTGATGAAAACCCTTCGACATTCCACGACGTGTTTCGCCCTTCCAGTTCGGGCATATCAGGTAGGTGAGTCCCCCGAGTTTTCGTCAACCGTATGTTCTACTTGAACTAGAATTGGACTGTTTTGAGAAATACAGTTATATGCAAATCAAGTTGGATTTCACGAGAAACCCAACAGATATGATGTTTCTTCAAATGAACGTGCTGCACTTAGGCCACCTCATGTTTCAGTTGACAAGATATTCGAGATATCGCAGTAAATTTTCATAGAAGAAACTACTCACAAGTTTGCTAAACAGCGGCCATTCCATACAAAACAGGGACATCTGAAGTCATCAAAAGGCTACTGAATACGGCCAATATCAGAGTAGCATTCCAGAAGGGAAAGACTTTACGCTCGGTGTTGGTGCATTCGAAGGATCAGCTTCGGGTTGATGGGACTAAGAACTGTGTGTACAAAGTAAAATGTATCGAGTGTACAAAGATTTATACAGGCTTGTAGACAGCAAGGGAAATGCACATCAGAACCGTTGAGCATAAACGTTCCATTATTTGACAACCGTGAAACAGATGAATATTAGGCGATAGTCAAAGATACGGCAATGGCAGGACATGCACTATATACAGGCCTGGGAAAGATTTAGAAAATGTGGGCATTCTGGGATGAGGTTTCAGGACTTACACCACAGCGACTGGTGGTCTAGGCGGTGAAAATCGCCAAGGGTCCTAGCATGAAAAGAATGGCGTATGTGGAACTTGAAAACGTGTGGAGTGCTCTCTGCGTCCAAATATACAAAATCCAACCAGAGTTAGATCCAATTTACCACCTCCTCGCCTCATATCCAAACCAATGGGACCGGAAACTTTGATGAACACCGGTAAATGGAATCTGAAACTGGCCCAAGAGGAAGTTTCCATCAGACAAACCTAGCCTGAAAATGCCAGGGCGGAATATTCGTATTCATCACGAAGCAAGATTCTCCCCTAAACAATCTACCGTAAATGTTAGTCATCCCCAATAGCCAACAAACAGGAATATCAGATAGAACACCCAGCACTGATCAAGTCGGTTAGTCATAAGAAACCTCACGGACTGGTTCCCCGACTGGCCTAAAATCCAACGAAACTACATACTCACCCACTAGGTTTGACGACGCAGGTTTGACGCGCGACTATGTGTCAAAAGTGAAACGTTGCCCAACAATAAATCCACAGGTTGTTTACCAAAAATATTTGAATGATGACTTCTCAATCGGAGTAGAACATTTTTCAATTGATCTGTCAATAGACTTATTTTCAGCTGCTGATAACCAGGAATCATGGAGTCTTAGGGTACATGTTCGGTATCGGCATACATATTATCACCAAAGCAAAGTGTTTGGTATCTGGAAATTTGCAGGGATGACTCCTCCTGGAGATTCGTGAAGTGAGGTAGGTTTGCGCGCCTCTCGGCTTGGCGGTATAGACTATTTTACTAACTGGACGAAATCGCAATTGGAACTGTCCCGACATCTTCATACTACCAATGTAACGGTGATACTACGGCGGGGAGGCACGAGCTTAGTATGTGTTATTCCTACAATTTCGCTTTGCGTCTATTGAAAAAGGGACATCTGTTGCAGAAATCGTGGAGCCACTTTGTAACATTTGCTTGGATTTGACCGACGAATGAGTGGGGTCAATGAATCTCCAGGAAAGTTCAAGAAGAGTTGTTCAATAGAAGATGGGTGTCCAGTTTTTTTAACTAAGATGTAGATTAGAGTTTTGCTTCCATGTTCAATGGTCTGTAACTGGACATTTGGCATAACTCCGCATCAAAGGCCTTCCTCCTTTCATTTGGTTCCATGACCGGGATAAGGATGTTGATCCCGTGGCCGCAATTCTTTCAAGATTGGGATGTTTGGACCTTGCTGGAGGACTTTGAGGTGGTTCCCGAGGCTGCCGGGCTGGAGACCGACCAGGGTTCGCTGGCAGCCCTGAAGAGCCTCCGCAAGGGCTGGGCGGAGGCGTCCCTGGATGCGGCCAGATTAGGCCCTCAGAAGGTGAACTGGGCAGCCGCAAAAGTAGTTTTGGCATCGGAGTTCCACAAGCCGCCAGGAGGCTATGAGGCGGTTCAAGACGGCCAGGATGCCACCCGGATCTGACCCGACCGTGTTCTTTGCCGGCCTGCAGCAATTGTTGGATCGCGCTTTGCCGGCGCTGGACGGAGTGTCGCGACACCAGTTGCTGTCGGATCAGTTCGTCGAAGATGTGCAGTCCGCGCTTGTTTTCCAGTTGCGGTTGGAGGAGCTGGTGCGTCTGGTCCCGGGAGCTGATCGAGGCACCACTGTCGACGTTGCAGTTGCAGGAGAACCGGGACGGTTCATCAATGGAGGAACTGCCGACCAGAGAGAACCAACTCTCCGAACAGCTGGCAGCCTTAAAGACGGAATTGCGGAGGCACGCTCGAACCAGCCGGCGCTACATGTGTGGCAAGCTTAACCACTTGAAGAATCAGTGTCCTCGTAACCGATCGCTTGTACACAATAAAACTTTAGAGTACTCCTCTTTTCCTGGGTGGGTTGCGATTAGCGCACTGACACAAGCTACCATACAAGCCTTTGTCAACGTAGACGAGAAAAAGGAGTTATGCTCGTATGATACAGGAGCAGGCGTATCGCTGATGCAAAGAAGGAACCAAGCTGAACGCAGACCGTTCGCGCTAGCTGTGAGAGCTGTTGGTGGATATCAACTGAAGCTTGACGGATTGTCGATACGCCTTGGCGGCAAGTCCGTGCAGCACGCGTTTTTGATCAACCCGGACGTAGAGCGGACGATATTACGAGCTAATTTTATCAAGGACACAGATCCCGTGATTGACACAAAGCACAGAAGGCTGGTGACAATGTATGGCGCAATCAAGCTTGAGGGTTACCCAGGCACTGTCGTGAGAGGCTGTGTGTCCGAAAACTTCCGTCTTGTAATGTGTCTTCAATAAGGGGCCGTGGTCGAGGAATGTTCCGAACAGTTTACGGGCGATGAGGATCCGTTTGGCTTCTGCCCGTGGACTGGGAACGCAATTCCTCCGTCATCAGAACGCTTCTGACCTTATGGCTTCCGTCCTTTGCCACTCCATCTAGTCGAGGGGGTCCATAGACAGATGCAGAAGATTTTGAAGAATGGCATAAACAAAAAAGCCAATGGTACGTACAATTCCCCAGTTGTGCTTGTAAGGAAGACGAACGGAAACTGAAGATTTTGCGTGGATTTCCGGCGCTTGAATGAATTGACCGTAAATCGGGTTGTGGCTGTGCCTTCGGTTGCAGAGGTTTTCGATTCCCTCCAGCACTCCCGATACTTTACTGTGTTTGAGTTGCGTTCCGCATATTGGTAACTACCTATCAAGCAGGAGGACCGTGAGGAAACGGTATTTACGGTTGGGGACATCCAATATCAATTTAGACGAATGCCGTTTGGTTTGTCCAGGGATCCATTCACATTCCGGCGCTTGATTCTTCGTGTAACGAATGGACTCCAGAATGTTACCATGTACGGAGACGATATCGTGTACAGCAAATCGGAATCAGAGCACGCAGTTCACTTAATAGCTGTATTGAAGCGGATCCCGGAGACTCGCCTGCGGATAAATGAAGTCAAAACATAGCTCGCTGGGAAATCGGTGACACTGCTGGGGCATGAAGTGGGTCAGGGAGAAGTTAGCACACTGCCCAACATTTGGCAAAGATCAAGAATTGTGCTGTTCGCAAGTAAAAGCGGTCTCTACGGCACTTTCTTGGACGAACAGCCTAATACAGACGGTTTGTTAAGGATTTCAACAAGATCGCTGCGCCATTGTATGATTTGCTCGGTCAAAATCGGAAATTCTAATGGACTGGAAGAGCACATGAAAATTTTGAGCGTGTCAAAGCGCGGATGTTGGATCAGCAGCCGGCCCTCAAACTTCCCAAGGTCGGAGAGATGTTCACTGTTGCAACGGACGCCAGTGATCGCGGTATTGGCGCACTCCTGAAGCAGAGGAATTGAGCTATCGAATATGCCAGTCGCGTCCTGACTAACGCTGAGCAGCAGTACTCTATCATTGTGTAGGAATGTTTAGCGATCGTATAGGCCCTGGATAAGTGGAGACCATATCTGCTTGGGCAAAGGATTCATGTCGAAACCGATCACAAACCCCTAGAGTGGATTCAGGACCACAGAGGTCATTGCGGGAACCTCGCATGCTGGGCACTCCGGTTGCAATCCAGCACTTGCCCGGGAAGGAGAACCACTTGGCCGGTTGGCTGCCAAGGCCGGAAGCTGAATATCTGGCCTCCAAGATCATGATTGGAGCCAATCGCCTCATTGTCGAACTGGATCCTGGAATGTTGCAGCAACGCCAACGACTGGATCCGGCGTTACAAACGGTTGCAGCCGCTTTGTTGGATCGAAGGAACATTGAGAACCGAGAGGGAGACAAAGAATTGGAAGCGTTTGAGAGTCACTTCGATTGGCTTAAGCTGAATTAAACTGGCATAATTTCCTGGAACGCCCCTGATTCGGATGTTTTGCTGCCCGTGATATCTCGCGTCTTGAGACGGCATCTCATCGTTGAATGCCATGAGATGGCAATTATTGGGTGCACCAAGACATACGATTTTCTTCGACAGAGGGCTTGCTAGTCCGGAATGAGATGTGTGGTGATGGATAATATGGCGTCCTGTAAGCGTTGTGAACTAATGAAAGGGGATATGACAGGGGCAACCCATCCCATGGAACCCAGTCCTGTCTCAGAAATCGGCGAGTTGTGGTTAGTTGACGTAATTAGCCCCTTTCCGGTGACAACCAGTGGGAACCAATACATCGTGATAATGACAGAACACATGTCGCGATGGATCGAGGCGGCTGCCACGCCGAATCAGCGGGCGACGACGATCGGCTGAGTAGTAATGCATCAAACCTTGGCCAACCATGGGGTGCCAAAAATGATCCTAACCGACCAGGGTCCTTGCTTCGAGGGCGAAGTGTTTAGGAATTGCTCACAGAACCTGGGTGTTAGAGTACCCGAACGAGTTAGGAGTGGCTCGCGGCTAACGGAGGTGACAGGGAAATGAACTTGCGGATGGTGTTGTTAGCTCATCTTGCTACCACAAAGTCAACCACAGACAAGTCCCCGTTTATGCTTATGTACGATCGACATCCGCGCTTTCCGATTGATCAGGGTTGTGGCCGGCAACACGCTTGTCTCCGGGGGACGGAGGAGCTAGAGCAAAAAAGAAGGAGAGCTCGAGAAAAATTGACCGCCATTCAGGAAAGGACTAGGTAGAAAACGGCAAGTAGAAAGGTCCGAACCTTCCACATAGGGACGAAGGTAAAGTGAAAGGATCACCAGAATCTTGGAAGGAGTGGACTGGGGTCGCGGAAGCTGGGCAGTCGATGGCAAGCGTCGTTTGTTGTCACCGAGCACCGAGGGAACGTCTATACTATTCGAGATGGGCGGGCATCGAAAGTAGTGAATGGGAAGCAGCTTCGCAAGCAAGTAGCCGACATGACGGATGTAAATGAACATCGATGGCATGCGAACGAGCTTTATGGAGTGTAGGTGTGTAACGGTGATACTACTGAGGGGAGGCAAGCGTGTAGTATATGCTATTCGTCCAATTTCGCTTTGCGTCCATTAAAAAGGGACATCTGTTGCGGAAATCGTGGAGCCACTTTGTAAGATTTGCTTGGATTTAACCGACGAATATGTGGAGTTAATGAATCTCCAGGAAAGTTCAAGAAGGGTCATTCGGGTGAAGATCGGGGCCCAGTTTTTTTAACTAAAATGCAGATTAGAATTTTGTTCCCATGTTCAATGGTTGTTGCAGGTCTCCTGGTATTTCCGAATAAATAACTCCGCAGCGAATGCCTTCACTTCACCAGCAATCCATAAGTAGATCAAAGGAACAATAGCTTTGTGAGATGACTAAATGTTTCCTCTGATAAGTCGTCACTCGATGAGCCTGTCAACACTATGTGACTATGTTATTTGGTTTCTGTGATTGAAGGATGATTGGCGCTATATCCAGTCTAACTGAGAGCTAGTCACAATATTGATCAGCAGTCCTTGACCCAAAATTTACTAGACTGATCTAGCGGGGGCTTTCCTCAGATTATTTGAAACAGCCTTGAAATTTTTCGCACAAAATGGCATGAAAGGCTGGATTCAAAACACAGTCGGTGACTTCAAGTATCGACCACCTGATCATCCTGAGCTTCTAAGCCAATTGCAAATTCATGAAGCAATTTTCTGCGGATGAGATGAAGTTTGATCTTGTTCCTGGAGAGAGACTGACATGAACGCGAATGAAATCAGCTACCAACCATATTTTGCGGCGGCCCCAACTTGAGTTGGTTTCGAAGAAGACCTGTGAAAAACTGCGATCTTTGCGAGAGTTTTTGGGGCTGCGAATAAACACGATTTCTGAAACTCTATGTTCAAACCAGGGTCTCATGACTACGGGTCGGTGGTGGTTACTACCCAACCAGATATCGGGAGTTCGGTGGCATTCATTTGTGTAATTTTTGCCGCCTTCCTGGAAAATACTGAAAGTTTATGCGACAGATTTATCGTTTTGCAAATTCGATAAGACCTTGCGTTTGTTGCCTAAGTAGCTAAACTTCAACTGTATCATCGTAAACTACTTACAATGTTTGAGTAGGCGAATTAGTGTACCAATTTGGGTATTCAAATTCAGACGTTAGCAAGTTTCCCAAAATTTCCGTAACTACATCGGTGACCGCGGTGAAATAAGTTATCGCAAAGCCTTATATGTGCTAATTTTTTCACGTGGCGTTAGTTAGTTATCGCACCGCTGAATATTTGCTCCCTTTAACGCTTTTGTAGCAGCTACCTTTGGGAAACATCATGGTGCAACGCATCATACACAAAAGCTTACTTGTGAAATCACTGTGTTTATTCGTACATCGGACTCCCCTTAAAGTTGCATCGCCTTTCAACCGTTTGAAGTCATCCTCTGTCTCTTGCCCCATATGTTCGGCGGTGAAACGGTAGACAAAGTTCAGTGACTTGATAAACTTCAGTGATGAGGTGATCTACGAACCTCTGTGAAGTGTTTGTTTGCTGACAGGACATATTCCATCCAAAGTCCTCATCTATGCTACCTGAAAACCCACGTAAAGGTCATTTTTGCTCCATTCACTCATCAGCTTAGATAATTCTAGATCGAAAAATTATCCTTCAAATTAATACTCATTCAATTGACAATTCAATCATTTGCCAACTTCTCGGAAGACACTGCGTTCTGTGCTGAGTTGGTATCAAACAGCGTGAACGTGAACACATTACATGATAAGCGAGATGTTATACGTTTCAGAAGGGTTCAGTAAGAAATCGGTAGTTTTTTTTCGGCAACGTTTCGCTTTGGACACAAAATTTTCTTCAGATCAAGTGAGCAGGTTGCCAAGTTGGCCAGGTTACAAGAAAGGCGGGCAACCTATCAGTGAGCCTACTGCAGATCGTCACACTAGATCAGTGTTGACTGTGAACTCGGACTCTTGTCCGTTACTAGGGTTGTCCGAATCGTACTTTGGTGGATTGAAGGAGTTTCAAATGAATTCTAACCGGATTTGTTTCGTTAATATTTCACTTCCTGCTGCTTCGATTGATGATTCACCTCGGTTGGCACTAGTAGATTTTCCCCGGTCTTTTTGGGGTTTTGTGCTCCCAGAATTATTTCCCGCGTGTGCGTTTAGGCCAAGTGAAATTCAGAACTTGACTACTCATCCAACTGATGATCGCATACCAACACGCGTTAGCTCGACTGATTTAAAGCCGTCCTCCACACGCTTGCCAGTTCAACGCCGTTTTTTCCGTTAACACTGATATACTTGGTGATTTCTTCGGCCTCGGCTATCAGTCTCTGTGACGTGAACCATGGTCCTCGCCTCAACATTTTCTAAATATATCAAGCAAGTTTTCCGCAATCGACAAAGCTTCCAGTAACGCTAGATGTTCATCTGCGTTTCTAGGCAGTCTGCTAATTTTTCTACTGTACTCTCCGATTCTGATGTGCAGCTCCCTGGCCGTCTGTCCTGGTGCAGTCTTTGTACTTAATTTCGTAGAGGAAGTCCTTGGTTCTGTTTGTTGAGAGGCTATCCTTCAACCGCGTTAGTGCAGAGCGCAGTATTTTCCTCTCAGGAGAGCTACGCTTATGGTAGCCGTGTTTAGAATTCTTCGAACGACCTCGGATGTCCCTGCTGTATACGGAATAACAGTGGTCCTGTCCCTACCCTGTTAGGTTTCTCCACCGGTACCCACACTCCTCGCAATTGACGCCTTATCAAGCGAGCCATGTATCCACTGCTCCGAGTATAGTTGTTTGTTTCAACTTTAGCCGCTGTGCGATCAGATTCTGGGTCCACAGGGCCCTTACACACCTGAACTTTGATGGGACAATGCAAACGTATATCGATTTCGGATGGTCGGACGAGTAGCTTAAATTTGCCCCAGTGTCGGGTGTCTTCTCGTACACTGTGGTCTTTAGTTCCCCACACCTTATGCGCCATGCAGTCTAAAAAGACCAGTGTACCTGAGGTTGACTCAATCTCTATACTAAACTGGATCCGTAGACACAGTCCATTCAGACAGTTGTAAAACTCACTATCCTTCTCTCATTTCATCATGGCGAAAGTGTCATCAACGTACGGCCAGAATATCTTAGGTGGATATGACAATCCGGCTAAAGTTCTCTTCAAATGTTTTTCCGTAAATATGATTGCCCAAACCGAGAGTATTGAAGATTTCATTCCTAAATCTTGTTATTGATTATAAACCACTGGGCCAAAAGCGAATTGGGTGAGATTCAGACATGCTTTTATACCATCCACTACTTCATCTACCGTTAGCTGCGCCCGTTCTGAAAAGATGGTTTATGTTAATAAATGTCACTTGCTTGTTGCTGAATAGTCCCCTCTTGGAACATTTGATCAAAAAGAATTCACATCGGAACTAATAGAAATATCATCTAGATCAATAGTGACACCGGCTACTTGGTTGGCGAAGTCAAGTGAATTCCTACTTTAAACACAAGATTTTCCGGTGAAGGATTTTGAAAAACTGGACTAGAAGCACGCCTGTTCATGCGGTGTGCAACCTATTCCGTCTACTAACTGTCTCACGGGAACATTTGGCTTATGGAATTTTGGAAGGCCGCAAATTCGGAAGGAACTCAACCTCTTCGTTGAGTCATTAACTAGAGGAAGCCCCAATGATGGGTGAGCGAATCAGCAGTGAATTTCGACACTTTCATCCTGGGTGCAATACAACAACCCAGAGGAAGAATCCACGGACTGCCAAAGTCGGAGTAACTCGCTTG